CCCTAGAAGCACTTAGGGAAGGGGTCTTATATGGGGCTCCCTGTGGTCTTCCACCCAAGGGATTGCTTAAATCACACCTCCTTAACATTAGGTGTTCCTAGGCTATTCTTTGGGTCAAAGAGAAAGATAATTCAGAGAGTATTGATTTTGAGCATTGGCACCATCGGCTGCAAGGCCTGTCCTGGGGGACAATGTTGCTTTTATACTTCCCAAAGATGTATGGTGCCCTCTGATCTCCCCAAGGAGAAAAGAACATTTTGACTTGCCTTCAATTCCTGTTCTTGAGAGGGCAAAGAGTATTTGGACTGTGCTTATGGGCACATGTTGGGCACTAGACAGGACCTCATCAGGATGTTTGCCATGTGCTTCTTCTGGTTTTCCTTGTTGCCATGTTGGCTATAGCACAGGATGTTAGCTTGTTCTGTAGTTCCGGAGCCTTCTGGGAGGCAAGGGAGGCCACCTTCCACTGGTGGAGGCAGGAACTGGCCCCGTCTTACATCAAGAAGTGTTTTCCCAGTGCTGAAACCCACTCTCTAGCCTCTCTTAGATTTGGAATTTTCAATCGGATGGATCCAAGTGCTCCGCTTTGCAGTGTCTGAAGCCTTCCTCCTGCCTAAGGAGCCTTCTTCTAACTTAAGTAGGTCTTCTGTTGGAGGAAGTGAAAATTTCCCTTGTAGTTAATAGAGCTTTACAGTTGTGTTTGCCCTTACAAAATACCTTGTCAAGCAACCACTTAAGTGGATAGCTGTGGCTTGTCCAAGAATACAGAATGAGTCCATGAGAAAGTGCGTTGGAACTTGAACCCTTGGGCATTGTTTTCTAAGCAGAATAGATTTCCTGCAAGTAACATCAGTCACAGCTGTTTGTGGTTTTGGTGCTAGATAGCTGATGTCTAGAGTAGGAATGTGTGTTAACTGGCAAACCTAAACATCTGCACTCCCCACTGTATTTGTGTACTGGAGAGGGAGGCTTTCTCAGTTCATATAATCCTTCCACTTATCCCACGCACACTGTAAAGAACGTCTTCCTTGCCCCAGTTCATCCAGATCTCTTCCAAAAGATCTTCATTTCCTTGTTGAAGTTGCAAAGGTCATTTACTTCCTTAGGTGACATTGATCTAGCTGATTTGTTCCAACAGTAGAATAATTAGTGGTTTTTTGTTAGGGGGATTTCATAGACAGAACTTCAGATGTGTATGCCTGTCACTCATAAGGATATCCTATGAGTGTTTTCTGAGCCTATCGTTTTGGATTGGAGTTGTTCTGTTCTGTAAACCTATATTCCCTTTGGCAAAACACTGAGGTCATAGCTGCCAAAAGCAATCTTCTTTAGGACTGAACAGTACTAGGGCCTAAAGCTCTGCCTAAAGCCAAAGCTAAGCAAGAAAATGACCAATGGCTGGGGGGGGGGGGGGGAGTTTCAATTGCCTTTGTTTTTGTTAACAGTTTTTCCCCCTACACAGTTCATTAGTAAGCTCCGTTGACTTCTAGAAAGTTGGAAATTGAGGCTCTGATTTTCTCAAACCTACATATTGGACACTATTCTTGAAAAAAAGAGTCGTTTCTGTGAAGAGCTCTCTCAGCCTCACCTACCTCACAGGGTGCCTGTTGTGGGGAGGGGAGGGGAAAGGAGTTTGTAACCCGCTCTGAGACACCTTTGGGTAGTGAAGGGCGGGGTATAAATCCAATCTCCTTCTCCTCCTCCTTCTTCTAGACAGGACCTCATCAGGATGACAGTTCTGTCTCCTTCCATCCTCAGACGAAATCATGTTCACCCCATTTTCCTTCCCTCTCTCCTTTTCAAGATACAGACAGAAAGCCTCTTCGAGAAGGGACTGGGCCTTTTGGCCTGTGCTACACTGTAGAGAACAGCTATGTTTTTCAAACAAACAAACCTGGCAGCATTAATCTGACAGAGGATTGTAGAGAAACTTGCCATTAGTACAAACATTGTTAAATTTAAACATCTCCTTTTAAAATTTGTATATATTCCTTGTAATGATGTAACAGTGTTAGTATGGGCTGCAGCAGCCAGTTCTCCAGTATTTCTAACTTCTTGTGCCTTATTTTATTGCTGCAGGAAAACTTGAGGATCTATCATTTGAGGGCTTCTTGCGTTCCTTACCTCTAAGCCAGTTTGCTGTAGTGGTTAGGATCGCGGATGCTAATCTGAGAGGACCAGCCCGGCAGGGCTCTTTTTGTAGCAGGTACTCATTTGCATATTAAGCGACACACCCCTAATGTAGACAATCCTCCAAGAGCTTACAGTAGCTCCTGTAAGAAGAGCTCTGTAAGCTCTTGGAGGATTGGCTACATTAGGGGTGTGTGGCCTAATATGCAAAGGAGTTCCTGCTACAAAAAGAGCCCTGGGCCGCCAGGTTTGATTTCCCACTCCTCCACAGGCAGCTGCTGGTGTGACCTTGGGTCTGTCATAAGTTCTTTCAGAGCTGTTCTCTCAAGGGCAGTTCTCTCAGCCCCACCTACCTCACAGAGTATCTGTTTTGGGAAGGGGAAGGGATTGTAAGCTGCTCTGAGACCCCTTCAGGTAGGGAAAAGTAAAGGTAAAGGTTCCATTGCTCGAAAGCCAGTTGAGTCCGACTCTAGGGTTGCGGTGCTCATCTCCGTTTCAAAGCCGAAGAGCCAGTGCTGTCCAAAGACGTCTCTGTGGTCATGTGGCCGGCATGACTAAACACCAAGGCGCACGGAACGCTTTTACCTTCCCACCGAAGTGGTCCCTATTTATCTACTTGCAATTTCTTGCTTTCGAACTGCTAGGTTGGCAGGATCAGGTAGGGAAGGGGGGGTATAAATCCATTCTCTTTTCCCCTTCTTCTTCTTAAGGTTGCAGGTGCTGTGCTGAGGAAGCCCAAGGTGGCCCTGTCTGCTCTCAGGGCAACATAGCAAACTGTCTGAAGCATGGGTGTCAAACATACAGCCCCTCCAGGGCTCTTATCCAACCTGCGAGAAACTGGTCATTACATTTATTGGCAGATGACAGAGACAGTGCATTATGTTCCTGTACACTGTCCCAGTGCTAATGGGTAACGGGCCGTGGAAGTGGGAGGGTGGGCATCAGGGAGGTACTGTAAGGAAATATAGTAAGAGTGTTAACGTTTTAAGCATGTGTGTATTCTGAGTAAAAAATAACATTGTTAATTTGGTTTGCCTGTGTCCTTTATAAAGTTTATATCTCTGGTATCTGGCATTACATTTTATGGCACACCATTGCCCAACCTGACCATGTGACATTTATGTCAGATGCAGCCCTCGTAACAAATGAGTTCAGCACCTCTGGTCTAAAGTGCCAGTCACTTTGTCTTTTATGGCTGTCAGCACAAGATTATATAAGGAGTGTGCAAACACAGAGTAAGAGGGAAGAGCAACATTGAAACTCTACACTAACAGTACTGCAGTGGATTATAGCACATGGTTTGGTAGTAAAGAGTTTAATGAAGCAAACGTGATGTAAAATTTCACGTTTGACTGGTAAAAGCCACGTAGTATAGGTATCCTGGAGAGTCTCTTTGCACGACCTTTGTTAAAAACCTAAAGAATGTTTCTGACACATGCAACGTATGAAGAATTCCATGTGGTCATTCTTCAGAATACACTGCAAGGCTCAGGCTCCAGATCATGGAGGAACTTGCAGGGCATGTAGATACTGGTCTCTGAAGCCTGTCTTCATTTTTAGCCGCTGAACGAAGCTGTGGCCAACTTCAGCAACTAGCATCTGTTCACCAGAACCCCAAGTTCTGTGGGGTCAGGAGAACTGGAGGCTTCCTTATTATGTTCGTTAAATCTCTGTGGTCTGTTTCCTAGCTTTCCTTACCATATTAGGCACACAGATATATATTCCTTGGCTTATATATTGAACTTGTCTAGTTATCTTGTTTGTGTAATTTTGGGGAGTGGGGGGGGAACAGCAGCACAAAGTGTGTTTGTTTATTTATTTATTTATTTAGAAATTCCCATGCCACCTCTCCAGGAAACCTGGCTGAGGTAGTCTACAAAATTAAGCATAATCAATGCATAAAACATTAAATGTTAGTTAAAACCCAGCATTAAAAACCCACCCAGAGCATAAGAGCGAACTACCAAAACAGCTTAAAATGAATTTAACAGTTTTCAGTCAGTGCTTAAGAGATTCAGCCCCTTAATTAAAATATTGGTTAAACAGAAACATTTTGGCCTGGTGCCCAAAAGAGGATAGTATAGGCACAAGGCCACCAGGCGAACCATTACTGGAAAAGCCCATTACTGCCACCCACCTCCTCTCTGACAAGGGGGGGCACAGAGCCCAGGGCTTGTGAGGAAGATCATAGCAGGTGGAATAAGCAGCGTGGGAGGAGGCGAGCCTGAGTACTCTAGATAAAGGATATTTTTTCCTAGAAAAGTTCACTTTTCTGTTTTCGTTTTTACCTGCAGAGGTGGCTATTGGAAACTGAAATAACCAGGGCTATTTTTGGGCAGGAACGCACAGGAACGGAGTTCCGGCTGGCTCCCAAGTTGGCTACACCCAGCAAGAACTCATTAGCATAATAGGCCACACCCAACAGCAGGAACTCATTAGGATTGGCTACATTAGGGGTGTGTGGCCTAACATGCAAAGGAGT